GTGAGCCCTTGTCTGGAACATTGAGAACAGACACTCTAAGTCTGAACTGACTAAGGAGTGGAAGGATGTTTTCACCAAAGTCTGGAAGAATTTAATATACTATAAAAAACTAGTGATCAAAGCACTGTTACTATTAAAACCCAGGTCCACAATGGAACAGGGCAAAAGGCTGAGGGAAGAGACAGAGAGTGCTTTTTTTATATCTGTGAGAATTACTTGGACAATTTTACTTTTCTGACCTTGAACCATAAGCTTCCAAGAAGTCCACCTACACATGCTTCCCTGATGAGGTCAGCATGAGGCACACTCAGAGTGCTTGCCACAGTTGTTTATCTAAGCAGGAACAAGTAACAACTGGTACAGTTTCAACACTACAGTTAAATGAAAAATGATTTGGCACAGACTTCAAACTATGTTAACATAATTGAGCACTTGGGTAGGGGTAGGGACAAACTTTATTCTACTTTTCTTCCTGGAAATTATTTACTTTTTCTCTACTGATGGTGTATCCCAATCCTCTGAATAGGTAGTAATAGATAGGTGTATATATTCAGAATGTGTCATTATGTACATCTATCTATATTTCCTTCATTCCATCAGCAAAATAAAGTAATTTAAAAGTTTCATTTCCAGGGGACTGCTCTGGCGGTCCAGTGGTTAAGACTCCGTGCTTCCACTGCAGGGGGGCAGGGGTTCGAGCCCTGGTCGGGGAACTAAGATCCTGCATGCCGTGCAGCATGGCCAAAAATTAAATTAAATTAAAAAAAAAAAAGTTTCATTTCCAATTGAATGAAAGTCAAATTGTTCTCAAAAATTGAAAATAGTGTAGTCTGCTTGAAATAATACTATGTCTTCTGAAGATCTTTGAATTGAGCCTTTGTATAGAGACAACAAAGAGACATAGTTGTGTTTTTACAATTTTAATTCACTTCTGTTATCCTTTACATCTAGCCCCTCATGGTATACTATATCTAACATAACGAATACCTTGCTTGTATACATACATCAACTTGTATGCTTTCTTCAGAAGGACCTAATAAAGAACTCTGTTATTTGATCTGAAAATGACCTGTGAAAAGAGCATTGCATTCAGTAGATACATAGTACATTTCTTCTATTTGAATGAATGAATGACATAAAGAGACCTAGCATCTTTCATTGGGGATCTGGGGCTCAAGTCACATGGGAGCCTTGAGGCACTGCTAAGCCACAGTACTTCTGCCATATTAGGATTGGGGAGGAGTCTCTCAGGTTCTATCAGGACCAGTCCTCTCGGCATTCATAGACATGGATATCTGCCAGAGGTAATCTCTCCCCACTAAATGGCCCTGATAGGACTTAAATTTAAGTCCTTCAGTTTGAGACAGATATTATCCTCTCACAACTGGAGAAAGATGTAAAACCCAACTGAGAAAAGAGCACATTGATTTAACATTATGATAAGTAGGAATTAGTAAACAGGGATCAGAACTTTCCATAAAGACCTTTTTTTTTGGATGAGTAATATCAGGGAAAGTTGAGAGTAAGAAGGAATAAAGAGAAAAACAAATACCGTATATGCTAACACATATGCATGGAATCTAAAAAAAAAAAGAAAAAAATGGTTCTGAAGAACCTAGGGGCAGGACAGGAATAAAGACACAGACGTAGAGAATGGACTTAAGGACATGGGGAGGGGGAAGGGTAAGCTGGGACGAAGTGAGAGAGTGGCATGGACATATATACACTACCGAATGTAAAATAGATAGCCAGTGGGAAGCAGCCACATAGCACAGGGAGACCAGCTTGGTGCTTTGTGATCACCTAGAGGGGTGGGATAGGGAGGGAGGGAAGGAGACGCAGAGGGAGGGGATATGGGGATGTATGTATACGTATAGCTGATTCACTTTGTTATAGAGCAGAAACTAACACACCACTGTAAAGCAATTATACGCCAATAAAGATGTTAAAAAAAAAAAAAGAAGGAATAAACCTAGAAAGGATAGAGAAATTCCAACCTGAATAGGGACAGTGCAATGAAAGAAGAGACGTAAACAAATGAAAAGAAACTTTCATCTATTTAAACCATTTTCTCATGTCTGATATAAATGATAAACATAATAATAGTGATAGCAAGAATAATTGAGTGTTATTATATGTCATACACTGTGCTAACCATTTTTCATAGGGTTATCTGATTTACTCCTCTTAAAAGCATCCTGGGAGGCAGGTAATACTATAGTCATTTCACAAATAAATAAAGGTTATAGATGTTAATTAACTTGCCCAAGGTCATGTAGTTAAGAAGTGGTGCAACTGGGACTGAGACTCACGTCTGTCAGCTTCCAAATCCCACGCTCTTTACATAATGCTATGTTTATGTAGTGTTCTCCACATAGAAGTTTCTTCAGTGTAGCCTCTCCTACTCCAATTACCACTATAAAGCATAATAAAATTTAACGACAATTGTGGCAAGGCTGGACACAAGCCAGAAACGAGTTTGGTCTTTAAGATTTTACAGAAAATAACACTTTGCTTATCTGAATTTTGATACCTAAGAGCACACTACCAGCTTGTGGTCATAATGAGGCACTTTATATGAATTCAGTGGATAGGGCAAATTGGAAATTTGGTTTGTGATCGGCTGCAGCTCCACTGGCCAGTTGACTTCAGCAAAGGAAATCAGTGACCCTAACTGTGAATTGGATGTGGCTTAGGGGTGCTTACCAAGCACCTTCCCTCAGCTAGCAAATTTTTCTAATTAGATTTGCATTTAATATTATCAACTACAACCAAATTTGTCTGTAAATAAGGATATAACAGGTAGGAGACTACCTCTTCAAATATCCCATGGAATAGAGCTGCCCATCAAATAATCTAGAAATCCTAAAGTTGCTTCTTTTATTTTTCCAAGATCATTGATTATTAATTGCACATTCATGAGTTTTGAAGAAAGAAACGCTATTAATCTGGCTTTGTGGGGGAACTTATAAAATTGTGGAAGAGTCAGAGAGACGGATGAGAGGAAAAGATTAATATCCATGTAGTGCCAAGAGGGTGACTAATGGGATTGCTTTCTTATGAAGCTGTAGCTCTCAAACTGTTGATTCTAATTTTAACAAAACAAAGCCGATTTGAAGCCCATGCATTGACTTTCTGCCCAAGAATATTTGAATATTGTTTTTACTGGAATTAGAAACTTTGTTCCAGTAATGAGGAGAGCTTTCC